AGATTTGACGAACCGGTTCTACCGAATAAGTGAGAACTGGTAGGAACCCACCTCTGAAAAGTTCCCTCAAAACATAATGTTTGAATGTTGTGATTTGAAGATAGAAACTTCTCAGGCTTACAACTCATTTTTTCCTCTCCCATGCTTTTCTGAACAGCTGTCTCAATATGGGCACTGTAATTTGATATATTTTACCCTGCATTTTTAACACGATTTTGTAATGGCTATGCTGTGAATTAATCTGGAGTCCTTCCCACTAGCAAGGTGCTTCACCATATTAAAACCTTAGATATTTACTTTTATAATGACATTGTGTGTGGGAGTGTGTAATGTGTGGGATTTCCCGTCCTAAAGTTATATAAAGCTAATAGGGTTTGTTGGTTGTTTTCTTAATTATTTTCCAGTATTATGCCCTAGTCTGTTCTTTGTAATATAAATTACTCTGCCGGAATAATAGGCATGAGCTCTCAGTCTGTTTTTGTAATTTGGTTGCTGTGGTAATATTCAGCCTTCCACAATCCTGGCATCTCCAGGGAGACCAAAATTGTTGCCGTCTTTACCAACTTGATGTTGTCTATGTTGTAGAACATTTCTGAAAACAAATCCTAATTGTATAAATTTGCACTGAATATATATATAGATAATGCCCATGTTTAAGGTGCAAAATAAAGTAAGTGTCGTTCTAGAAAAAGAATGAGAATTTTCTAAAAGCATGGCCATTTATTTTTTTAAACCACAATGCTGAACTTGCATTTACTTTTTGATTAAGTGCTGGTAAATGGATTTTTAAAAGAGAATTATAATCTTTTCTGAGAGAAAACAGTTTCAGAATATAGATTGATGGATTGTGTGATTTGATGTTTCTTATATAAAAACCAGACTGAATATAGAAAACTAGAGAGTTATGAAAAATAATTCTAATCTTTTCTTTGGCACGTAATCTTTCTACATGCAAAAGCCTATTTAAATGGTAGACAAACGTGGGGTTTTTCTACCCAAATTTTGAAGTGTTATATAGTCCAAGGTATACTTTATCACAATTTTTGCTTAAAAGTGGCCCTGACTTTTAATTATCTTGCCTTTATTGGCATAATCCTGACTCATTACATTAATTGTGTTAGCCTCATGTACTGCCAAATCTGTCCTTGTCCTTAGCCTTTTCACTTTTATCTGCTGATTGTGTCCTGTTGTATTTGGTATATCTTTAATTCTTTAGCAAAGTTAAGAGGGAAGTTGAATAATAATAAAAAATCTTGTTTATACAGGCCCATGAAGGAAACATGCCACTATGTGGGGGTTAGTATGTCCTGTATTCCAAACATTGATAAGGTGAAACAAATCTCCAAAACAAAGCAAACACATGATTTACAAACAAGGAGAGCTTTTATGATAATTGCCAGGACGGAAAATTTTTGTGCCCTTGAACAGGTCTTCTTCACAAGTGCAAAAATCTCTTTTCTGGTGGTTCTTTTAATTAGCAAATCTCCTCTTACAGTTACAGTTACCTAGGTTATGTCTAAATTTCCTCCAGCCCACGCTTTGCACAAATAATATTCTCTTCTTGTGCCCTGTCATGAGATCCATGTGCTTCTTGATGCTGTAGGAATTTATAATATCAAAGATTGCAAATTCAAGGGAACGATCTGAAAATCAGCTAGTACGTATGAAACCAGATTGCAACAAACCGAAAGGGCATTGTCTCCCTGGCACTTTTGTGCTGTATGGACTTCAACTCCCAGAATTCCAGTTAGCAGAGTTGAATCTGGAATGTTTCCAAAATGCTGCATTGCTTATTACTTTCCTCTCTTTTTCATCACTATGTTATTGATATTTGCATGACGTAAGACAATGCCCCCTTTTAAGTCCTATTTTGCTGGGTCAAATGGCAACTAAGATGTTCGTGTCTTTACTATCATCTCTCATTATAATTAGCAGATTGGGTGATTTCAAACAAGGATGTTCTTGCCAGCCCTGGTCCTTGAGGAGAACTATGCCCAGGATGTAAAAACTATGATTTGGAAGTTTCAGGTTTAATTTTTAACTCGGCCATGAGCTAAATGTGTTCTTAAATGTACCACTCACCTTCATCCCTCCCCCCCCCCCGCTTCTAGCTCTGCCTGTAACTTAGAAAATCCCATGTTTTTGAGACATGGTGCAATTTTATTTGGCAAGATGCCTTCAGGCACATCCTTCACTTCCATCCTGTTGCTCTTTACATTCCCTAACTTGCATGTCTAATCTTGCCACTGTTGGGAGGAGGAGGGCTGAAGAGAGTAAGACACAAAGAAGGTATTTCTTCTTCCCCTATCTTCTTGCCTGGAAAAGACATAAGCTTCAGTTCAGCACATGCCAAATGATGCTAGTCTTGACATTTCATTCATTCATTAAAGGTAAAGGTTCCCTTCGCACATATGTGCTAGTCGTTCCCAACTCTGGGGGGGTGTGCTCATCTCAGTTTCAAAGCCAAAGAGCCAGCGCTGTCCAAAGACGTCTCCGTGATCATGTGGCCGGCATGACTAAACGCCAAAGGCGCACAAGACACTGTTATCTTCCCACCAAACGTGGTTCCTATTTTTCTACTTGCATTTTTTATATGTTTTCGAACTGCTAGGTTGGCAGAAACTAGGACAAGTAACGGGAACTAACTCTGTTACACAGCGCTAGTGATTCAAACTTTTCTGTTCAACAAGCTCAGCGTCTTAGCCACTGAGCCACCGCGTCCCTCCATTCATCAGTTATGTAACCCTTAAGTGCTGTTGATGTTGAGATTTGGCCTTACTCTTTCTGTAGAAAATAGAAAAAAATGTTTCAAATCTGAGAGCAAGTCTATGTGCAAATTACTAGGTGGCCCCTGATGTAATTAAGCCCCTATAGCAGAAATGCTAATTATTATTTATTTATTGCTGAGTTGGATCAAGTGGTAATTGTGGTGTCTTGAGTTATTTGTTTTAATCTTACAGGTTGTTTTGCATTTGAACCCAATTGCTTCGATGCATATTCATCAGAAACCTTTGGTGTTCCTCCTGAACTCTCCCGTGCCTCTAATATGGAAAGTGAAAACAGAAAGACTTGCTTTGGGGATCCAGAGACTTTTCATTGTAAGTATTTGAAATATCCTGACCTTGTGTAGTAATGTTTCATATGCGACTGATGGATATGGACAGAGAAAAATAAATGTTAATTAACTCTCAACATTTCAGCAAAAATCTCTTAGGGGCCGGGTGGCGGCTTATTTGAATTTTTGTTTAACATGGGTGGTGGTAGAGGAAGGTTATAGGATTGCCCTTACTGTGTGATTATCGACTACGGTAGGTTTCCTGCTTTGATCAACTGTGGCGCCTCTTCTATCTTTAGAAGATGCAGTAGCTATAATGTCAAAGGTTAAGAGCTCTGTAAGAAATTAGTAAGCAACTTGCTTGCTGTGTGGTCTGCCAGCAAAATTCCTGTTGAGTTGAGCCCCTTGTGATCAGGATAAAGTTTGAGTTGAGGTTTTGGTAAAGGCGCAAGCTTAAGCCCCAACATGAAACCATGGCATGTTTCTGAAGAACGGTCCCGCAGTCACCTACTATTTAATAAATTACACACATTGACCATTGGCCAGGATGTGCTGTTAGTAGAGCTGACCAGACAGATTGTTTGGGTTGAATTTTTAAGCTATGATATCATGTCTCATGATGACTTCTTACAACTTCATCATTTAACATCCCAATTTCTGAAACAAACATTATTTAATAGATTATACAAGAGTTATACAAGCCACAAATAATCTCTGGAAAATGTCACATCTGGCACCTGGAAGGACATTCTGCAAAATAATGAATATAATATTATATGACAGTTTTACAAAAGGGCATCGCCAGTAAGGAATCAATCTTTCTTGGATTTTAAAAGAAAAAAAATATTTTTTTAAAAATTGCAAAACTATTAAAGAAATCTCCAAAAACTATTATGCATACTTACCCGAATATGATATGTTTCTATACATTTTCTTTGATATATAGCATGGTTTTTTTTCCTGTGCTTTTAAAATAAAATACATACTTTTGGTGCACAGTTGTTGAACTGAGAAATAGTGGCAGACAGTCTTTGATGGATTTGGTGAATGAATGTGCCAGTCCATAAAGTGTTCTGTTTTGTTAGACAACACATTGCTTAAAATGAAATCCCCAATTTTCATTGGTACTTTTCACTGGAGAAAACTATATTGCGATGGCTCTTCCATCTAAATCTCATAGAAAATATTTTGGATAAGTTTAATTAACCTGAATAACTGTGTGAGGAATGGACACAGCTCTACAGAATGTGATCTAAAGTGTAAGAGAGAAATCACGTGGACTAATTCTCCTGAAGTCATACAATTTTGTATGAAGAAGTGGAATCAATCCAATGAAATGTTTTTCCACATCAAAGACTTTCTGAAATATCCTTTTTTTATATAACCCTGAGTGGAAAGGGCAATTCCACCTGCTATAGTCTTTCAATTTTGAATTTACTGATGTAATTCAGGCATAAATTTATGAATGGATGAAGAGTTTTTACCCTCTCTATATATACACACATCATTTTCTGTGTTTGCAGGAAGATTGAATACACCGTCCATTAAAAAATTTAAATGGTGCCTCCTATTCATTGAAAAAGAAAAACTCTCAGTCGTGACATATGTTTACCATGATTTTAGTTTGTCTTAGATTGCTTTCCGACCACATGATTTTAAGAGGTTCTTAATTGGTTGTCAATGTTTATTGATTTATTGATTTAATACTTTTCCCTGATTGGCAACTGTTGACAGGACCCTGTTTAAGCAGTAAAATTGTAACAAATAAGTGAAGAGAGATTTATAACAAAGTGAGATGTGGGAGAGGAAGAAGGAAAAAATAATACATTAGTAGCCAAAAAGGTAAAATTGAATGAAACATAAATTTTCCAATGCCTTCCTTCATAACAGAGAGAACTTATTTTTATGCCACCAATTTAGCCTCTCCCACCACCATCACATCAATGTTATTGACCCCTGCTGAGGAATATGTTTTCCTCTATATCACCCAACAAAATATGTGGTGGGTCTTTTTGCTGAGAAAATAGCCCAAAAGGAGATAATCAAACAATCTTTTTCTCACCCTCATTTTGTTTTATTTGTATTTGTATTTGTATTTTATTATTTGTATGCCGTCCTTCTCCGGGAGGACTCAGGGCGGCGAACAATTCAAGGGGGGAAAAAAGGGGGAACATAAAAGACCAAATACAAATAATAAAAGTAGCCAACAGTCGCACACCATACATGTCGAGAGGGGAGGGAACTCATTACCCCCAGGCCTGCCGGCAAAGCCAGGTTTTGACGGCTTTTCGGAAGGCCTGGAGAGAGGTGAGGGTCCGAATCCCTGCGGGGAGTTCATTCCAGAGGGCCAGAGCTGCCACAGAGAAGGCCCTCCCCCGGGTAATAGCCAGGTGGCATTGGCTGGTAGATGGCACCCGGAGGAGGCCAACCCTGTGAGTTCTAATGGGTCTGTGGGAGGTAATTGGCAGCAGGCGGTCTCTCAAGTACCCAGATCCAATACCATGAAGGGCTTTATAAGTTATGACTAGCACCTTGAAGCGTATCCGGAGACTGATCGGTAACCAGTGCAGCTCGCGGAGGATAGGTGTAACGTGGGTGTACCGAGGTGCATCCACAATCGCTCGCGCGGCTGCGTTCTGGACGAGTTGAAGTCTCCGAATACTCTTCAAGGACTGCCCCATGTAGAGTTTTACCTTTCAATGGCTGTGATTTTTCAAAACAAAGATCCAATAAAAGAATTATTAAAAATATGCATTTATTTACCCAGATTTTAGGCCTTCCAATCCAAAAGATGACTCAGAAAATTATAAATTGTAAGAAGTAAAATAACATTTTTAAAAAACAGTTCTTCCATATCATGCCTAAAGTAAAAAGGACCTGCCAGAAACCCTAATCCAGAGTATTTCTGCATGCTAGCTGGGGAATTCTGGGAGTTGAATCAATTAAAAAAAGGAGTTTGAATTTACTATATTTTAAGAAGTTAATTTGCACTGAAAAGCAGTGCAAAAACTTCTAACTTATTAGCAAATAAATTATGCTCACCTATACTGATGGACTAATTTAATAGCGGTAGTAAATCACTATGAAAGATTGCTATCTTTAGTTACTTGTGCATCAAATATTCTTGAAAGTGAATTGAACAGAAGTTGGAAGATAATCAAAAAGAAGCTGCAGTTCATATGTCTAATGGAGCATAGCTCTGTGTTAAAATGCATAGAGTGTGCTGTAAATTAATTCATGTAATGGAGTATTATGTTTCATAACATACTAGCACCTGAGCTACATTAATCTGAGCAGGGAATCTCCTGGGTCTTGAAACTCAATTCCTCTTTAAAGCAAAACATGGATCATATAATTGGGATATTTATGGTCTTTCTACAGTAAAGTTTTATGACTGGAGTTGTCATGATTATATCAAACATATTTTGCAGTCTTACAGAAATCAAACTTCCCTTTGGTAAGACACCTGGATTTTATCGCTTCCTTCTCTTTGTTTTTTAATAACTGCTTCGGCTGAATTGATCAAATAGGTAGAAAGAATAATTCCCGTTCCTTACCAATTGTGTATAAAAATAATCTAGCTTTGATTGATTTTATATTGTGAACATGGCAGAACATTCTTTCCATACGCAATTATTTAGCTCAAACTATCTTGAGTTTTCCTCAGTTCATTGATGGTCGTGTATTTTTTTTCTCCTTGAACTTCTACAGTTCCTTTTATTTCTTCTTTAGATTGTGTTTGTTCCCCCTCCCCAAATTTTTCCATGAGTGAAGAATTACTAAAAGAGTCGAGGTGGCGCAGTGGTTAGGGTGCAGTACTGCAGGCCACTTCAGCTGACTGTTAGCTGCAGTTCAGCGGTTCAAATCTCACCGGCTCAAGGTTG